TTAAAAGGACCAACATAGCAGGTGATAAGAAGACCTTGACCTGAGACCCTGGCTCAGTGGCAGAGCCTCTGCTTGGCATGCAGAAGGTCCCAGGTTCAGTCCCCGGCATCTCCAGTTAAAAGGACCAGGCAGGAGGTGATGGGAAAGACCTTGACCTGAGATTCTGGCTCAGTGGAAGAAGAGAAGAAGAGAAGAGAAGAGATTGGATCTATACCCCGCCCTTCACTTGGAGTCTCAGAGCGGCTGACAAACTCCTTTCCCTTCCCCTCCCCACAACAGACACCCTGTGAGGTGGGTGGGGCTGAGAGAACTCTGACACAAACTGCTCTTTCAGGAACAGCTGTGCCAGAGCTTGTGACTGATCCAAGGTCACATCAGCAGGTGCAAGTGGAGAAGGGAATCAAACCTGGTTCTCCCAGATTAGAGTCTGCGCACTTAACCACGACACCAAACTGGCTCTCTGCTTGGCATGAAGAAGGTCCCAGGTTCAATCCCCAACATCTCAAGTTAAAAGATCTAGCAGTAGGTGATGTGAAAGACCTCAGCCTGAGACTTTGGAGAGCCGCTGGCATTCTGAGTAGACAATAGTGACTCTGATGGACCAACTGCTCTCCAGACGACAGAGATCAGTTCTCCTGCAGAAAATGGCTGGAGGGTGGACTCTGTGGCCTTAGACCCCGCTAAGGTCCCTCCTGAAACCCAGCCCTCCCCAGGCTCCACCCCCAGATCTCACACACGATCACATGAAACCACCTTACTCAGTAAATATGACAACAGTCTGAAAATCCTTGACGAAGAGTCTAGTATCTAGATACCAGTTGATGTCGTCCCCGTAACGAGACACGCTGTTGTTCAGAGGAAGTCCCAACGAAACGATACATCATTCCGGTGGACTTCGTTAACAACTATGAATTTAACATCCATGATGGTTTAAACTCACTACTTTGTACTTTTTTGATATATTTTGAATACTGGATAATATAGAGTGCCATATAGATTAGCGCACTATTTCAGTGTCCTTTGGGTCTGGTTATTTAGTTTATTGTGACCAGGGGTCATTTCCTGCGGGAGCGCACAGGAACTGAGCTCCGGCAGTAAGGAGCCCAGGGGGCGGGCACGTGCAACAAGCCCCACCCCCTGCTCCCAGCAGGCCTCAATCGGGCCCACGGGGAGCAAGGAGCAGCCAGGTAAGTTGCAGGGGCCCCCCCTTGGCCCGCCTTCAGGTACAAGCTCTCCCTCCTCTGTGAGGGCAGATCTGCATGTCCCCCCCCATAGCTAGCAATCCAAAACAGTCCAGTGGCACCTTTAAGACCAAGTTTTATTCAGGTACAAGCTCTCCCTCCTCCGTGAGGGCAGATCTGCA